TATGGTCTTTTTGGACAGTGCACTTTAGATGTCCGCAGTGCAGATGTGTACATATGAGGTAGTCACTTGTGCTGGTTTAAAGGTAAACCAGCAGGGGAAATGAACTCAACTCAAAGGAGAGATTATAAGTCAGAATAACAATTTAATAAAATAATACAATAAATATGATTATACAGACAAACAGTTGGTTTTAACCCACAAAACCCAAATGCACCCTGGGGCATGAACAGAGTGGTGTTCATTGGGCCCCCTGAGTCCAAGGTAAAAGGAGAGGGGGAAAACCTGTTGGTGAGAGTGCTGTTGCAGTCTGGTCAAGAGTGGTGACTGCAGTCCGGTCAAGAGTGGTGGTTGCAGTCTGGTTGAAAAAGTGATGGTTGCAGTCCAGTTGAGAGTGGTGGTTGCAGTCTTCCTCTGGATCCCACGAGTGGTTAAAAAAGTCCCAAGACTCCAAGATTATATATCCTCCAGTTCAGGCAGGAATGCCCAGTACCTCCCTCAGGGTGAGAGGTTCCACAATGGGTGTGAGGACAGGAGCATCCTCCTATCTCGCAGGCCTCTTAACACCCAGTTTATAGCCTGAGGAGTCAGGCTGCTCTGGGCAGATTGTGTAAATGGTCTATTGATAACAGTTTCTGGGAAATGACATGGAAGGCTATAGAATACACAGTTTTGGGTTACACCCATACAGTGATGAACTGGTCCCAGCTGTTCTAACTAGGACATCACTCAAGGCTACTTTTGGTGTGAATTACAAGAGATGGGTGCTTTTTCTGATCTGAGGTCTACTTTAAGATTAGATGAAGTGTAACCCATTGACTGTAAGAGAAGTCTAAAGGACTAAAGTAACTGTAGTCACAGGTACAGTAATTGTGATCTGTAGTGATGCCAGAGGAGGAGTGGGTCTTTAAAAATTAGTTACAACTAATGATGGCATGGAGAAAATTAAACTGAATACCTTAACTGTGTCTGGATTTTGTAGATTTCAAAGACATGTTCAGCTTACATATAAAGCAATTTTACCCCTAATTTTTGTTATCCATTGTGTTTACCATGGTGTGAGTGTCATGTTTCTTCAGGGAAAGAAAGAGAATAAACTTCCATCCCTTCAGACACTGTTGGCTCATTGCCCAGGAGCATGCCTTTTCCCAAGAGCACTATGCAAAAAAGGGCTCTACGAGCACTTAATTTCCCTGTGGTAGCCAATATGTTCTACCTTCCTTTGCTATAGCAGTGGAGGCACAGTGCTGAGTCTGAGGAAGCTTCAGCTGTGTCGTAGGTTATGCAAGGAGCATGCTGGGTGATCTTTGGCAAATGATTTCACTATGGTGCGCCACAGTTTCCCTTTAATTAGCAGAATACTGAGATCTGCTAATAAGCAGTGCTTCACCAGAGCCAGGTAGTGCCATTAATCACTGAATTAATAACTAGTGTATTTGCCTGAGTAGACATATTAAGATATGGTACAATGGCTTAAGGTGAGTTAGATTTTACGCTGGCAGGAACAGAGGTATGTTTTTTTGAATAGAAAAGAATTGCTTTCCACCAAACCTCTTAAACCAATATGCTTTACCTCTTGACAAGGTACTGACTCATCCACTACTTGGAGGAAAGCACTTAAATCATCAATAAATAGCCATTCTGCCCCATAGGAGAGGCAAGTTCGTTTCTCAAGACTCCATACATTGTTCCTCAGTTGGACAAATGTTGGCAGAGCAGAAGTGGCCTTGGAAGTGAAGTGGAGGGCAGACTGCTTGCATGCCACGGTGTTCAGAGAGTGATGCTGCCAGGTTCCAAAGGGCATCCTCTGCAGCAGGAGAGATTTGTTGTGATTTTTCTGAAGGTATGGCACCATAGGTCCTTTGGACTCCATCTAGTTCACTGCTTGGCGGGCAGATAGGCAGTGAAAATGCGAGCACTCTGGGCCATTCAGACGACCCCAAGGTGTTGGGTCGTTATAGCCATTGTGCCTATAACTGAACTTACTGCACATACCTTCTTTACCTCCCATAACCCTCTGGTTAGGGTCATCTTCCAAACTCCTCCTTTTAGTAAGCTCCTTTATACCTTTATATCTCTTGCTTTTTATCCTTCTGCCTGCAAACCTATTTCTCTTCCTCTCCAGTCAGAGTGCCAGTGTTTGCTGCCGTATCCTTCCCTTCCCAGAGCTCTGAATGTATTGATTGCTTCTGCTTTTCTTACAAATGTATCATTGTTCTCTGTTCTGCCTGCTCTCAAAAGTGCAAGAAAGGTGAAATGAGTGGTTTCCTCCCATTTCTTTTCCCTCCACACCAAGGGCTGTTGCTCCTGTTTGCTCCTGTTTCTCTTCCTTTCTCTCCCAGACGCTTTTTCCCTCTTGAGGGTCTCTGTTTTTTTGTTTTCCCATTTTTCTTTAGAATCCCTTCCCTTCCTTAAATAAGTGAAGAAAACTTTTGCTTTTGCTGAGTGGGGAAGATGGTAGAACTGGGACAAGCATATTGTTCTGGAAGCTATAAGTACAGTTTCTGGGTTTCCTGAAGGTAATTAATTGGTGGAAAGTACTTCTAAAGAAGCTGTGAAAAGAGGTCTATCTTGAGAGAATAGTCCTGCCTCTGTGCATTGACTCTGCTATTCAGTTTTTGCTTGCTTTTTCATTTTGTTTTCTGTGTGAAGGCCAGCCACAGTCCTTCCAATGTGTGTCTAAATGTTACCTATGAGACTAATTCTATGATTTCTTTACATGTTATAGTTCGTGGTGTCTGGATATAAAAATAGACTCAGTGGGCAAGATTAAATGGGAGTATTTACTTGCTTACTTTTCACAGAAATCAGTAGAGTTAAGTTGCCTATATAAATATATGTCTTTGCTACTGTGTGAAATTTAAACTGTGAGAAAGAAATAAGGGTGTCCTGAAATACTAACAAGTGAGTAGGAAAAGGGATGTGTGATGAATGGAAAAATATCTTCTTGTTAAGGATTTTGCTTGATCCCTTTTATATTTTATGGTTTGTTTTTTTTTTTTTCATTCTGCTACAGATGTTTTTGGCTGCCCTGCCCGTTACTTACAGGATAAATAGGATTTATCTATTTATTAGATATTTTTAATCTTCTGTTTTTCTGCTTAAACAGATTTATCTGTTGTTTATCTGCTTAAATGTCTCTGAGAACTTTACTCATTCTGTTCCTCTAGTAAAGTAAGGGCAATAATGCTTCCTGACCTATGGTCTTGTGTGTTCAGATAATAATCTATTTTGACAGGAATTATTTTCTATTCTGCTATGTGTTCCAGACATGACTGGTCTTCCAGTAAGATTATATACCACCGCAAGATTATATACCACTGCACACATCTCAGTTTTTTTTTGCTTCCATTACTTTGCTAACTATATAGCATTCGTTGTTGTTGCCTGTATGAAGAACCTGTATTTTCTTAAAATTTACTATTAATTTACAAATATTTTTGATTTATGTCATTATTTCAAATGTTTTTTTATTACAGATGATCCCTTCAATACTTAAAAGATAGTCACTCTATAAAAAATGTGTGGAACATGTATAAAATGGTCTGAAAATCGGACAACTATTAAATCCCCAAAATACCCTGAACTTTAATCTAGCAGGAAAAGACATAAATTCCTGTTTTGAAAGCTGAGGCTAGATATATTCAAATTAGTGAAGCTAGATAAATTCAAATTAGTGAAAAGGTATGTATTTTCACTGTGAGAGTAAATATTAGTTGTGATACATTATGTAATCCTATGAAACATTTTCCTGTTCTTGAATCTTCCTAAAATAGATGCTGTTGTGTAAAGAGAAGCCATAGGGTTTTTGCCTAAATTACTGTTTGACCTCTATTAATGCAGAAATGAGATTACATTGTTGTAATAGTCCTTTTGGCTTTAGAATCTGTGAATTTTTGAGTCTATGAAATGTTTCTCTCTTTTGTTAATTATTATTTTCTAATTGAGTGTTAAGCTAATTCCTGAACCTTCATCTCCTGCTGAGGTTGTAGGGTTCTATTGTCATGTTTTCTTACAGCCTTTGATTCACTGACTTGAAATCACAAGCGTCCTCCCTCTCACGCGGTGATCAGTACTAAGTATAACATTTGATTAATGGGATTAGAAGACTGGTTGTCTTGAAATTAGATTGCAGAGCGGGATATTACAGCTAAATTGTCAAATCAGATCTGCAAAGGTATTTCTGCTTGAAAGAGAGCACTTATGCAGGGAGAAAATATACAGCAATTGTGTTTCTGAGAGAGAGTGAGAAAATACAAAAAGGACACCTTAAAAAAAGCTACTCTGGCAAGTATCTGTCTGTTTCTTGCAGTAAGTACTGAGAATTAGAATCACCTGTCTTTTAGATCTCTGTGCTTTGCCTGAAGGGGCAAAGGGATAAGAACTGGTATAAGCAGAGCAAGAGTGCTATACAAGTACTTACCTCTTTGCATGACAGTCTGGAAAATAAGCTGACTATTAATAAGTCAAATATATATATCCACATATTATAAAACTCTTATGGAAATGATTCACTTCCAGTCATCAGATCTTGAAGGCTTTTACAAAGGACAGTAGTATCACTAAATCCTGATGTACAGTGGTGTAATGGAGATTAAAATATTATGAATAATCACTGAGGTAGAGTTTGGCATGGACATTATTTTTTTGCTCTCATTTAAAACTGGGCATTTCTGCAGGTGCGTAGAAGGGCTGGGGTCAACCAACTGTGGACCTGACACATCCATGCTCAAGCAGGGGAGAATGTGTGTTTTGTCACCTGTGCTTTATTCAGTATGTGGGACAGGATATTAACAATATCAGTTTGCTTCCTCACTTTTCCTTGTAACTATTTGCATTATCTTCTCTCTCTCTTTTTCATTCCAGCACAAATAAAGATTATATTAGTCACAGGTTTCCAGGATGATACTGTTGGATGGAAATGCCTAATTCAGATTGTTATTATTGTATTATATTGACATTCAAAACTGGTAACTTCTTTGTTTTTCCATTATTTCCCACAGGGTGCAGCTCTAATTAGAATGTTGGCTAACTTTATGGGTCACTCTGTGTTTCAAATGGGCTTACAAGTAAGTAAAGGCATTTCTGTCTTTTCTCTTGCTCTCTCTTTTTTCTTTTGAAGCTATATTTGTATCTGTTTGTGGAAATGTTTCTTTACTTTGGGACCATCTGAGGCACCACCATGTCCCTGAACTGAATTTGATGGAAGATGCTGAGTAGTGTAACATAACACACGTTGCAGTGCCACCTGTTTCACCTATGTTTCTTGGTGTATGAAGTGATTGCACTCTAATTGGCACATGGCTTTGTGTCTGTTTTGTGTACATAGCCATGTAGAAGCCATTTTATCCGTGTGACAACTGCGTAAAGGACTAGCTGAGGAAGTAGCTACTCTTCGCCTACATTTGACTGCTGGTCTAACAAATAACAACATCAAGCTAACTAGAAAATACCCTCAAACCAATAATGCTTTTCAGATAAATATTTTTGCCATCCCTTCCTCCATAGCAAAATCCTTGAGCTTTATTTTTACCTTTGATGAGCATGGAGTGCTCTCTGCCTTGATGATGTTTTGAAAACTCACTCTGCCTTTTAAAAGAAATTTAAAGAGGTAACATTTCTATACAAAGAGAAAGAAATTCAACATGCTGATTACCAAGGATGAAATCTTTTCAGCAATAATTCAGCACAAATGAGCATTTCGTAAACTATTTAAAAGCAAACAAGCCAAAGCATAAAAAACAATGTGACTCCCTCTATTGCATTGAAATCTGCTTGAGTAAATCACGTTAAAGGCAGCTGTGATTGATGAATTATGTATGATGCAGCCTGCTACTTAGAAGTGTCCTTTAAAGTAAATTGATGTTCACCTGAAATACAATTATGCTAAGTTGAAAAGAGCAATCAATCTTATCTGTTCTTAGTAAGCTTTTCATTTTGAAATTTAAATAAACTACGTCTAGGATCAGGTCATTTTTTAACAGAAAAATTCTACCTCTAACCAAAATAAATTGGAAGATAAAATATAAAACAAAAATTAAATGAATACATTGGTCATGTCAGAGAGGTGTGTTTCATGAAAAAGCAATGAAAGGAAATTTGCTGGGGAAGTACTGCTTTTTGGAGAGTTTACAGCACATCCAGGGTTTGCAGCATAACTTACTCACAGGACGCAGTTGGATCATTTTCTTAGTTGTAACACCAGGTCAGATGAGTAAGATAAGTTTCTCATCCAGATAAGAAGTCTTTAAATCAGAAGTATCCTTCCTAAAATCTTGTGTATGTTAAGGGTAAAACTCTCATCTCATTTAAGCTAGTAAGGCTTCTGTCCTTAGTCCAGCAAACTCCATATTCCAGCCAGAAACTTTTAAGTGCGCAGATCCATTCAGAGAGAAATTCAGTAGCACTTTTTCCCAATGAAGTGTGTCGCTCAAGGAAAAAAAGTTTTAGTGCGTGCATATCAAATCCTGTTTTCCTGTTTTCTTCTATGTTTAACTGAGAAATAACAGTGTGCAAGTTTTCCTGAAATAAACTGAGAAAAAAAGTTCAGATCGAAGAGTAGCTATGCAGAGATTAATCATAATTACCATAAAGTTGTAATGGAGCTCTGTTTTTTGATTTGAATGGTTTCCTATTATTTCTATTTTCACTGGTTCTGCTCTAATTAGAAACTCTTCTGTTTGCTAATGAAAGTCTGTGAAAAATCTAACTCTTAAAATCTGACTAGTGAAAGTCTTGGCATCAGTTCAGTAGGAAGATGAGGATTTTAACTAAAAATGGTTTGAAATCCAGATAGAGATTTTCCATGTGTATGTCTGCAAGTTGAACAAAATAAAACATAAAGTTCATAAGCTTTTTCATAAGCTAAAAATTGTACAATTGGAAATATCTGTCAATCATTTAATTATTTATATTTTGTGTTCCTGCACTGTACAGTTGGGAGGCTATAGCTTTACTAATGATAAGGGAAACTGGAGGACTAGTTTACCCTTTCTGTCATGCACTGGTTTAGGCATTTTAGCTCTTTAGCTTGATACCATCAGTTGGGATCTGGCATTATGCTACCTTGAATCCTGTTTTAACATGGAATTCTAGTGTTCAACTAAATGACCGTTCTTGAGGATAGCTGCAAAATCAAGTATTACTACTATTTATAAATCTCTTCAAATAACAAATACTGTGAAAGTGCACTTGGTGGTTCCTTTTTCCTATATTATTTTAATGGCTTGTTGAGTAACTGAGTTCTGAAAGACCTCTGCAGCCAGTTTTCCCAGAGAGAATGCTGTGGGAAATGGTATCAAAGGCTTTACTAAAGTCCAGGTAGAAAAAATGCACAGCCTTTCCCTCCACAAAGTGTGTCACCTTGTCATAGAAGATCAGATTGGTCAAACGGGATGTGCCTTTCATACACACGTGCTGGGGAGGCCTGATCCCATGATTGTCCGGCACATGCTGTGTGATAGCCCTCAAGATGAGCTGCCCCATGACCTTCTCTATCCCTGAGGTCAGACTGACAGGCCTGTAATTCCCCGAATTCTTCTTTCACTCCTTCTTGTAGATGGGTGTCACATTTGCTAACTTCCAGTTGTCTGGGACCTCCCTGATTAGCCAGAACTACTGGTAAGTGATGGAAAGTGGCTTGGTAAGCACTTCTGCCAGCTCCCTCAGTACCTTTGGGTGTATCTAAGTGGTGTAGCAGATAACTGACCATTTTCCCTTAGATAACTGATGCTTCAGTTCTGCTCTCTCTCCCCGTCTTCTAACCTGGGGGGCTGGGTACCCAAAGAACAATTGGTCTTACTATGAAAGACCGAGAAAAAGAAGGCATTAAGTACCTCAGCCTTTTCCTTATTCTTCGTCTCTATGTTTTTCCCCATATCCAGCAAAGCATGGAGATTGTCTTTAGCTCTCCTTTTGTCCTATATTTATATAAACATTTTTTATTGTATTTTACAGAAGTGGCTAGGTTAAGTTCTGCTTGGACTTTGGTCCTTCTGATCTTCTGCCTGCATAACTTCACAACATCCTTGTAGCCCTCCTGAGTTGCTTGCCCCTTTTTCCAAAGGTCATAAACTCTCTTTTTTCATCCAAGCTCCAGACAAAGCTCTCTGTGCATCCAGGCTGGTGGTGTTCCCTGCTGACTCATCTTTCACACATGGGGGTGGACTACTCTGACACCTTGAAGATTTCTTTCTTTCCTGGACTCTTTTACATTTCAGGACTGCCTGCCAAGGGGGTCTCTTAACCAGTGTCGTAAATAGGCCAAGGTGAAAGTTCTAGTGACCCATCTCCTTACTTCTCCAAGAACTGAAAACTCTATCATAATCACTGTGCCCAAGATGTTCTCCAATTATCGTATCACCTGCCAGTCTTTCTCTGTTCACAAACAAGAGATCCATCAGGGGACCTTTTCCAGTTGGCTTACTCGCAAGTTCTATCAGGAAGATATCTTCCACACGCTCTAGGAACCTCCTATACTGTTACCTCTCCACTGTATTATATTTCCAGTCACTATTAATATTGTTTCAGTTCTTTTTAGTGTATTAGCTATGTCCTTAAGTGTTTAACAGGTGATAAAAAACAATAATCTTGTAGTTTTATTAAACTAGCATAAACCAAGATGAGTAGCCCTTTATTTGTCTTTGCATTGTTTGTGGTTTCATCAAAATCAAGGTATGATTCAGCATCTTATTAAGACCTACAGAATTAGGGCTTTTATATAAGGGAAACTTCAACAGATGTGGTAATCTTTGGGTTAAGGAGAGGAAAAGATAAGGTTTAGAGCAAAAACTAAATAGGATTGCTACCGTTTTTGTCCGCTTCCTCTTTTATTCTTAATCTAGTCACATGCCGTCACCTGGTAGGTGGACTTTTTGAAGAGCAGATCGAGATAGCTTGGGGGTGAAAAATCCCTTATAGCACAGAAAACAATCATGTTAAAAAGAAAAGCTGATGAAGGAGAATGGGGCTCTTTGGTGAATATTCTTTAACATATGATCTGAAGCAAAAGTATGAATGTGCACATGATTCGTAACAGTTCAGCAAACTGTTCTATTGAGAAGTCTGCAAGAAAGTAAAATTGTGGTAGAGATGCTCAGTTTTACAGATAGATGTCTTTAGAGACATTTATATCTGTCAAGAATAACTCGCCTGTTCCTATAATGGTAAATATACTGTGGAAAGCCTTTTGATTATAATGTGGAATTTCCACAGTAAAGCTGCAGCCAAGAGACTCTAGTGAAGGTATGATTTTCAGGAAGCCCTTCAAAGACATGGTGTCTTGAATCATATGACATTTTCAAACAGAAGATTTAGTAAGAAACAGACGGAACATTCTCACTGTTTTTCTAATAGCACTCCATAGACAGAACCAAAGGAGAACATTGGCTGTAATGAATAATTGAATAATGACAGTAGTAGCCATAGCTGATAACACCTGCACACAAGAAAGTCACAGCTATTATTTTTGTAGAAAATATCTAATAAATTTCCTTTTCACAGTAGGTGTTTTCTGTATTTTTAAAAGTTCTGGCATCTTTCATGATGTGCAGTTTCTTATGCTCCAGGAAAATTCAAGAAGTGCACATCACACTGCTGGTACTCTTCTTACAAAATAGCGTTGCTTTTCAGTCAAAAAGCCGTTAATCAGGTGAGACAGTGCTTAGAGTATGAAGAGGCTTGGTCAGCACCACTTGCTCTGATTATGTTTCTGAGCTGCACAGATTGATAGAGGAAGAAGCCATAGATTGGCCTTATCATTCAATCATGACTCAGGGTGGTAATGTGCAATATGATACTAGATTTGTGTGAGATTTTCTTCTGTATTCTGTTATTACAATTCTGTGTGCTTGAAATAGATGGTTGCTTACATGACTGGTGTCACTGTATCACACTTTTGGGAAGGTTTTACTGCTTTGTTTTATGCACTTCTTCAAATGGTTTGGTTTTTTTTTCATATTAAAGCTAGAGAAAAGAACCAGTGATTTGCAGGTCTGGTGGTTAAATGTGTTTAAAGAGGCACCTCTGGTTCTGTAATGAGACATTTCTGCACTAGTTTATTCAAATGTTC